AAATAGATCTTGAATCCTTCCGGGCTCGTGACCACCACTCCTCCTCCTGCCCCCTTTTTGCTACTCGACCCATCTGTTGCTAGTGACCACCACTCAGCCTCGGGATCCGCATCCTCAGGAGGCCGGGTATCCCGGGCGGTGCACTCAACCAAGAAATCCGCAAGAGCTTGACCTTTAATAGCCGGTCTTGGTCGGTATTCGATCGCGTACTGGGTCAACATTAACGCCCATTTGACTAGGCGACCTGATGATGAAGCAGTTCGGAGGACTGGCCCGATCGGCTGGTCGGTCAACACGCGAATTGCTCGACCTTGGAAGTAGGGAGCCAACTTCTTTGCAGCAATGTACAAGGCATAGACGACCTTCTCTAGCCGGGAGTACCGGAGCTCGGGACCATGTAGCGCGTGGCTTACATAGTACACCGGTCGCTGGACCCCTTCCGGATCGGTTCGGCACAGAACTGCGCTTACTGCACGATCGGAGACGGCAAGGTACACGTCTAGCTCTTCTCCGAGCTCAGGCTTTGAGAGCACGATCGGTGACATGAGATACTCCTTCAGCTCGCCAAAAGCCGCTCGGCATTCTTCGTCCCAGACGAATCCATTAACCTTCCGCAATACCTTGAAGAAAGGTAAAGCGCGCTCGGCTAACTTGGAGAGGAACCGGCTGAGGGCTGCCAACCGACCGGTCAATTGCTGGACTTCCCGAACGGTGGAAGGTGGCTGCATGTCCAGAATCGCTTTTACTTTGGCCGGGTTAGGCTCGATTCCTCTCTTGGTCATCATATAGCCGAGGAACTTGCCGGTCTGAACCGCGAATGTACACTTGGTCGGGTTCAGCCGCAACTGGTATTTCCTCATGATCTGGAAGCACTCCCGAAGGTTCCGAGTGTGGTCGGATCGGTCCCGACTCTTGACCAACATATCGTCGATGTAAGCTTCCATCGTTCGGCCCAGCAGATCAGCAAAGAGCATGTTGACCATCCTTTGGTAGGTCGCTCCTGCGTTTCGGAGGCCGAACGGCATCACTCGGTAACAATACAGCCCATCCGGGGTCACGAAGGCTGTCTTGCTCTCGTCTTCATGGTGCATCATGATCTGATGGTATCCCTTAAAGGCATCCATGAAGCTCATTAACTCGGCCCCAGCCGTCTCGTCGACCATTTGATGAATGCTCGGTAGAGGATACGGGTCGAGTGGACAGGCTTTGTTGAGGTCCGTAAAGTCGATGCACATCCTCCATGCTGGGGGCTTAGGAACAAGAACAATATTTGCCACCCACTCAGGATAGACCACCGGACGGATGTGCTCGATCGCCGCCATCTTTTTGACTTCTTCTCTTACAAACTCGCGGCGATCAGAGGAAAGGTGTCGTGTCTTTTGCACGACCGGCTTAGCTGCGGGATCGACGGCCAATTTGTGACAGATGACCGACCGATCGATCCCGGGCATGTCTTCAGGCCCCCATGCAAAAATATCGGCATACTCCCGGAGCACGGCCAGAACTTCCGCTCGGAGCTCGGGAGTGAGGGCTCGGCCAATCTTAATCTTCCTGTCCGGGCGGTCCTCGGACAGGGGAACTTCTTCAATTTCTTCGGAAGGCTCAGGCTGCTCCCTCCGTTCCTTAGCCTCCTCCTTGGCTATGGTGTTCACCCGGGAAGACGGACCGGAGTCACGTCTATTGACCGCTCGGGTGTAACACTTCCGGGCGAATTGGACATCGCCACGGACCACGCCGACCCCGTTGGGGGTGGGGAATTTCATGCATAGGTGAGGCATAGAAATTATCCCACCGGTCTTCATAATGGCGGGTCGGCCCAAGATAATGTTGTGGACGCAATGGAGGTTGACCACAACAAATTCCAGCTCCGTTTGGATCGACTTTGGAGGCGTGCCGATCTCGACCGGGAGCGTTATTTTTCCCTCGGGGTAGATAAGAGCCCCGGTAAATCCCGACAGTGGTACACCGACCGGAGTCAGCTCCTTCCTGTCAAGGCCAAGCTTCTCAAACACGTCCAAGTATAGGACGTTCACGCTACTGCCCGTGTCAACCATAACCCTTTGGACGTCCGTCCCCTTGACGTCAATCGTGACCACGAGCGCCTCCATGCCGTGATCACTGCTGGTGGGTTGGTCGTCGAGGGTGAAGGTTATGGGCTCCATCTTCTGCCTCTTCCCGGTCTCCCGGGAATCCACTACTGCGACCGGGCAATTTGTCCTTGGTCGGGAAGCATCTTCCAGCCCACCAAAAATGACGTGGATGGTAGGTTTTCCGGACGGGCGGCTACCGGACGGAGGGTCAGGGTCCCGTCGGTCATCATGACGATCGTCCCTTCGATCGTCTCTTCGGTCCTGGACCGACCGATCAGAGCGGTGATGAGATCGTCTGTGATCCCTCCGATCGGTATTCCTCTTGTTTTCCTCTCTCTTCCCCACACACTTGTCCAATTTTCCCAAATTGAGCAAATCTTCCAATAATTGGAGCAAGTGGGTACACTCCTCGGTGTCATGCCCGGCGCATCGATGGTAAGCACAATGCTTACTCTTGTCAGGGCCATCTCGATCGGGATGGGGAAGTTTGATGAGATTGCAGGACTGGGCATATTGCATGGCCTCCGCTGCGGATCGGTTCAAGGCCGTAAACTCGCCATGCCTGGTGCGGGGTCGGGGATTGTCATCTCCCGATCGATGTTCTGCCCGGCTGGCCGGTTTACGAGACGAAGTGCCGACCTCCTGCAAGCGTTTGACGGCATTCGCCTCACCTGCGTTGGCGTAATCAGTGACCCTTCGGAGGGCCTCCTCATATGTGGTCGGGGGGTGGAGGATAAAATCCTGGTATAAGTATCCCGCCCGGAGGGAGATGTGAAGCATGTGGGTGGCGGTCGCATCATCCATGGGCTCGACCTCCCCGACCGCCGCCTTCCACTTGATGAGGAAGTCGGTCAAGCTTTCCCCTTCGAGCTGCTTGGCCTTTTCGAGGTACATATAGGACTTCCTCACCACTTTGGAAGTAATGAACTTCCGTACAAACTTGATCGCCAGGGTCTCAAATTTGTCGATTGACCCCGGCTGCAGGGTTCGGAACCATTCTGCCGCCCGACCGGTAAGCGTTGAGTAGAAGGCCCTGCACATCACGGCGTCTGAAACGCCCTTCAGCATCATATTGCTGAAGAAATCATTCACGTGAGCCTCCGGGTCTGTCCGACCGTCGTAACTCTTCTCTCCCGAGACCTTTAAGTCGAGCGGGTAAGGCTGAGCCATTACCGCTGCTGTGAAAGGCGTTTGGTGTAGGGTCGATCGGTCGGCCGGGGGTGCTGTAGGATACGCACTCCTGAGCTGCGCAACTTCAGCCTGGAGGTTGTAGAGCAATCCTCGGGTTTCGTTGAGCTCGGCGGCTTGAGCGGCTTGGGCCGTATCCCGAGCGCGTCGACGTCGATGAGATCTCGACCCGCTATACCCGGATGAAGCCTCGTGGCTAGCTTCCTGCATTTGTACGTCCTCTTGCCCGCGATTCGGGTCTTGGGGTCCCAAACGCTGGCGCATCTCTGGTCGGAGACGATCGAAAGCTATCGCTCGGGCAACCTCTTCAGGGTCCTCCGCTCGAACGGCCTGAGCTGGTGCCTCCATCGCATCAGCACCCCCCGACCCCAACCGCGAATGAGCCGAGCGTCGAGCCCGGGAAGTGGACTGACGCTGCGGCTCTACTTGTGCGGTCGGTTGTACTGGAGGGGCGGCGGCTGGAGCTGTATATGCAGGCGTATATGGTGGATAACCAACCGGGGAAGTGTAGCACATCGGTTGGCCTGGCCAATACCCGTACGGTGGAGGTGGGACCGGGTACGGATACTGGGCGGGATACATCATCGGCTGCTGCTGGTATGGCAGACCGGGTGGTGGGTATCCCGGTTGTATGTAATTTACCGGCTGCTGGACGGCCGGGTATGTATTCGACGGATGTGGTGGTGAGAGATTGAGGTTGAGGTCTATTGTCTGACCCTGCTGTTGGGTAGCATAGTGGTCAGAGGAGCTCGCCGCATCCGCCTGGTCGTCGGCAAAGTTGTTGTGTGCCCACGGATACATGTTGATACGGTGATCGGGTGCTCGTCAAGACGTTGGTTTCTTGCACGGGTCCCCACAGACGGCGCCAAAATGATACTGCTAATTCTACGTAAGCAATATAAAATAACACGAGACCAATTAAAGCAAGTAAAATCTTTATTGATCCCGGTAAAGGCCCTAAGTACAATCTACTTGGCTGCTCTGAGTACCGACTGACGGCGGTCGGGATTCTCTAACAACAACCTATCGATCGTCCAAAAGTCCCCTACACTGTAGCTACTGTGGGCATTTATAGCCGCTATGCCGGGGACAAGATTCCAGCCGCTCGGCATGTCTTCCACGTAGCCACCACGTGTCATTTTCCCGGGTGCCCTGTCTGTCGCCATGAAGAGCCGCCACGCGTCCTCTCGCGTCCTTGTGCCAGCTCTTTCGTCGAAGGGCTACCGCTCGGTGGTTGGCATAAGCGCTTGGGCAACTCCCGGCCATTCCCGACCGGGGTCTTCATGGAAAAAGCCCGACCTGCCACCTGAAAAGATCATAAGAGAAAGACAAAGGCAAGTCGGTCGTGGTGGAGCTTATGTCGGTCGGGATATTCCCTACCAGACTCAATCCTTAGTCATTCCAAATTTCACCTCTATGACCGACTGAGCCGCCCATGCAGGCTACTCCTCATTTTATTGCTTTCTCATTTCGTCGCCTCATCAAACATCTCTTTTTAGTGCATTGACTACTTACCTTATCGCCATTCTTAAAATCAATTGCCTTAATTTTTTATTTTTGTATTTTTAAAATCTTTATTCCGATTATAAAATTACACATAATTAAACATCAATATTAGTAGTCATTTCAATTTCATTCTATTACCATGCAAAATGTTTTTACCAAAATTTATTCCAATTACCAAATATTTAATTTCATGTTCAACCAAACGCACCCTTAGTGCGCTCGTTGTAAGCATACCAGTTTACTACCGCCTGCCCAACTGATTTCTAAATTGAAGAAGCAGAAATGTCGGCGATAGTAATGACGGTGGCGCAGGACGGCAGCGGAGATTTCTTGACGGTGCAGGAGGCTATAGATGTCGTGCCCTTCGGCAACACGCGTCGCACTGTGATTCGTGTGGCTCCCGGCATCTACAGGCAGCCGATTTACATCCCCAAGACCAAAAACCTCATAACCCTAGCCGGTCTCAGCCCTGAAGACACTGTACTCACCTGGAATAACACCGCGACCAACATCGATCACCACCAGGTCCACTTCTCATCTCTGTGTTTGTGTGCGTCTGTGTGTGTGAAGTATCCATATGTGAAGTTTTGTGAAATTAAATGTATTTAGCCTTCGAGGATAATTGGAACTGGAACGTTTGGGTGTGCAAGCACAATAGTCGAAGGAGAAGATTTTATTGCTGAGAATATCACTTTTGAGAACTCTGCTCCTGAGGTAACATTTCTCTCCCATGGCAAGAATCTTTCAAGATGGTGCTTTTACAGTTCCCACCTAATGCATAGTATTTATTTTTTTTTTTTAAACCAAAGAATATATGCTGTGGGTATAATTAGTGTGCTCCAAAACAATTTGAACAGGGATCATTACAGGCAGCGGCAATTAGAGTGACAGCTGATAGATGTGCTTTTTATAATTCCAGATTTCTTGGGTGGCAGGTATATTTACTGTAATGCTGTTGTTAGTTCAGATCTCGAGGGAATTCCATACCTGTTACAGAAGAAACATTTTCATTGGTTGAAATTCGGGTTTTATGTTATGTATGTATGTGTGAATATAGTATTTAAATTTCGTTTCTGGCTAAACCTCCACAGGACACTTTGTATCTACATTATGGGAAGCAATATCTGAAAGATTGCTACATTGAAGGCAGTGTGGACTTTATTTTTGGTAATAGCACTGCGTTATTGGAGCACTGTCATATCCATTGCAAATCGGCTGGTTTCATTACTGCACAGAGTAGAAAATCTTCTCAGGAGACAACTGGCTATGTATTCTTAAGGTTTGTGATTAATTGGTATTCAATTTGGTTATTGAAGTTTGAAGCACTTCAACTTTTTAGCTTTCCAAAATTGCTTTTGTTTATTGATTTGGCTAAAAGTTGTTTGATGTGATTTGGATGATTGCTTATTTTATCATCTGTTTTGTTTTTCTTTTTTAATGAGATGCCCTCTATTGTACTCCATGGCATTTATGCAGATGCGTGATCACTGGTAATGGAGGGACATTTTACACGCATCTTGGGCGGCCATGGGGACCTTTTGGGAGGGTGGTTTTTGCATACACCTATATGGATTCTTGCATTAAAGAAGTTGGTTGGCATAATTGGGGCAAGGCTGAAAATGAGAGGACTGCTTGCTTTTATGAGTATAGGTAAGCCTTTTCAAATTCGTTGAATGTAGATGGCTTATTGTTTGTATTAAGACTCAATATATACATGCATACAACACAATACACACAGACATGTGGATACATAATTACAAATGTTAGTAAGATAAACCCTGTTTGGTAAATGACTGTTAGCTGATTGGGTTAATTAGAGGGTATAACTAGTCGATAACATTAGCTGATTGTTGAAAGGTGTTTAGTAAATTAGCTGTTAGCTAATAACTGTTTGCGTTTGGTATAATTTCTTTTCTCAAAAAGCTAATTGAAAAAGTTGCTTTGAGTAGCTTTTTGAATTTTAGCATTTTGGAGTACAAAAAGCTAATTAACCAAACACTTATATTGATTTTTAAACCAAGTCAAATAACTAATAGTGGTCAAATAAGTCAAAATTGGCCTATTTGTTGGTTCTGTAGTGGCAAAACATGTCCTAAATTATCATATACTGGACCTATTATTGTTTACCTGTTTAATTGCATCACTTGCATATTTCAATTGGATGCTATGAACTGCTTGCAGGTGTTTTGGGCCTGGTAGTTGCTCTGCAAAGCGTGCAACATGGGGAAGAGAGTTGTTGGAAGAAGAGGCCGAGGAATTTCTGCTGCATGGCTTCATAGATCCAGATCCCGAAAGGCCTTGGTTAGCTCCGAGGATGGGTTTGCGTATACCGTATTCAGCATAAAGCCATGCATTGTAAGAAGGGCTACCAAGTGTTTAACCTCATATGAACCTATCCAGTAACTTGTAGTTCCTGCTCCTTTATGTCTACTCGATGTACATATGTGAGCTTTTGTTTTTGTTTTGTTTAGGGGTTTTTTCTTTCTCCAAAATTCAATCCAAAGTGCAATAATAGAATTTTGAAATTCTGTTTTATGTATGTTATGCCAAGCATCTTAAATTTTCTTCACCAGTCCATGCAGTGCAGTATATTTAGGATTTCTGAGTGGCACAAACTGTGGATTATTTAAAAGATATCTGGATTGTAGATAATTTTAGACAAGGGATAATTTTACTTTTTATTTTGGGAAAAGGTACAAATAAGCCATCGAACTATTTGAAAAATAATAATTAAGCGGTGATGCATGTCGGCGGTGAATTTGTATTGTAATTGCTATATATATATATATATATATATATATATATATATATATATACTGAAAGGATAATTGCTATATATAATTTCATTGAAATCCTCCAGAAGCACGACGACGATGCCGGAAACATCCGTTGCTTTGGGGTGGATGAGGAGGGCGGAGAACGCGAAAGTCTCGGAGACGGTTAGTAACGACATACAAGATTCGTGTTGACTGTTGAAGGAGGAGTTGAGGGGGCTGTCGGAAAACGAGGAAGTTCGAATGGCAATCCAATCATGTATGCCAAGTAGGATAATAAGCGATTTAAAATTTAATTTTGAATTGAATTAAATGCTTACCGTACTCAAAAAAAAAAAAAGAAAAAAGAATCAAATGGTTACATATATTTCAAGTAGGATTAATGATGATGATGAAACATAATTACACATGAAAATTTAATCAACAAAACTTAATGGTAACATGCTAATAACGTTAATTGTAATATTTTTTCGAGTTTGTGGATTAATTTGAAACTTTTTTTGAGTACAATGGCTTAATTGTTATTTCTCAAATAGTTCAATGACCTATTTGTACATTTTTTCTTTTATCTTTTAAATTATAGACTAAGTGTACATTTTGTTCATAATTGTCATAAGTTATAATTTTGATCTTTTTTTTTTTTTTTAAAGCAAAGATGCAGGTAATATTATAGCAAAGTAGAAATAGAGTTAAGAGGGACCATGTCTCAGTACAAAGAGCTAGCCTGAGAGTAGGCTGCTGAAGTAAGTGTTTGAGCAAGTAAATTAGCCGATCTAGGCACTAAACTAATGCAATCATGAGTAAAAGTAGACAAAGCCTCTCTATAGTCGTCAATTGCCAAGCCGACGTAGGAGAAGATAACATTATGAGAGGTAGACAAACAACTTTAAAGTTTCGAGCAGTCGGTGTAGAGGTCGACGGAAAGCACCTCGCGATTCTTGAGCCAAGATAGTACCTCCTTACATGTCATATATTCAGCGAGAAGCAAGGGGGGAGGATGTCGCTGATTGCTGCCGTGAAAACGCCATCCGGAGAGAGCAGCACAGCCCCGAACGTCGCTTCCCCTGAGATCGGACGATATCCAGCGTCGAGTAACATTGCGGGTGAGCTGAAGTTGGCAGCGGCATGGCTGGGCTGGTGGCGGCAAATGACGGAACCGGTCAGTGGTAGACCTGTCTCCAGTTCCATAGTGAGGACGCCGCCGCCTGCCACACATACTTCGGCGCCGGTAAGCTCCTCTCACAAACGGCCGAGTTTTGGACTCTCCAAACATGGTAAAGAACTGCCCAACTATAATTGAGTTGCTAGATAACTAGCAAATTTGCCCAACTAATACAAATCCACTTATATATAAAATCTCTAAAGTTCAACATCGGATGCGTACATCTACACAGGCTATTAATTGGACAATTATTTGCTAGAATTTAAAAAATGATAACAACAGAAAATACAATCGATCCAACCAAATTCTTCAATTGCATTATACAATATTCAACATTATAATTTATATAATTGTATATCAATCTAAATATTTTTAAAATATTATAACAAATCCATTCCGTGTATCGCACAGATGAAAATGCTAGTTAATAATAAAAGAAAGCGGAGTGACATGTTACTCCTTCGCATCAAAACTGCTTTCCGGCCAGTAACATGATCTGAATAATTTGTATAGTCCTTAGAGAAAAAGAAATCTATATCATTAAACATTATTGCAGCTCTTTAATGCCTTCAACAATATATACCAAAGAAAGAATTAAACAACTCAGCATAGACATATGGCCTACTCAAAATACTTCATGGCCTGACCAAAAAAAGAAAAAAGAAAAAAGAAACTGCATATATAGATGTATAACAAACACATAATAAAACCACTCAACATATATAGAGATACCATCACTTTATTATAGTTTAATGAAATATTTCTAAAGATATATATACCAAAATTTGAAAACTTGATGCTTTTAAATTACTGGTAAAACAACGATGCCTTGTCATTTTTTTAATTTGTCAAATTTTATTTTTTAACAACTGTTGTCTGCTGCCTACTTGAGAAAGAAGTGATCGACAATGGTGGCCTTCTTCCTCAACCTAATGAAGGTAATAAATTATTAGTTGTGCGCTTCAAAGAATTCTCAATGAGAATACTCTTATAGTTGTGAGATCATGATATGCTATCAATGTTTAAAAAGTACAGCATTGCCTCCCTCAACCTACCATACAATCCAAAAAAAAAAAAGGAGAAGATTTTATCAGGTGGGATAGTAAAAATTAAACAATATGTATAGACATTGTAAATAATAAAAATAAAATTATTATTTTCATTAAAAAAAAATACTATTAGCTACTTCCACAATAAAGATTTATGAATTAATGAACAATTTGGTCCCTCAATTATTAATGAACTGTCAATGTAGCCCTTTAATTACTTATTCATCGATTTGGTCCCCAAAAATAATTATTTTTAGTCGATTTAGTCCCTCAGGCCGTCTTCCATCGATAGTCGGAGGGACTAAATCGACTAAAAATAATTGTTTTCGGGGACCAAATCGACGATCGAAGGGACTAAATCGACTAAAAATAATTGTTTCCGGGGATTAAATTGATGAATAAGCGATTGAGGGACTACATTAACAGTTCGCTAATAATTGAGGGGTCAAATCGTTCATTAACTCAAGATTTATTATAAAGTTCAAACTCTAGAACGAGATAATAGTTGTTTGTGTTGCATTATTACGGAGTATTTGTTAGCCGCCAGCTAGGTTTCTTAAGAATCCTTTGTAAAGTTTCTCAAAATAATTTTATGTTACAAGTTATAACAAGGTAATTGGTGCTACACATGCACTTCCATTTGGGCTTTTATTAATTAAGATAATATTGTTGGAAGAATTAATTAAGATAATATTGGATTAAAGGTAAGAAGTGTGATTATTGTTAAGTTTTGGCCTTTTCACTCGTTAGTCCCCGCGTGATGCTTGCACAATTATACACCCGAAATTGCGTATATATATATATATGTATGTGTGTTTGTATATGTAAAGAGAAGAAAAAGGAGGAGGAGAAGAACACCAAGTTATAGTATAACCATCATGTAAGTGTGTCCCTTTCATTCATCTTCACTCACTTTATATAGTGGTCATATACAACCTTTCAAGTACACAACATCAATACATGATTAAATGATAAGCAAATGAAAGGTCTAAATAGTTTAATGGCCATAAATATAAATATTTACAACAATTATGAAAGGGATACAATGATCATATTGATGACATATGTTTATTATATTTATGTACCTAGAGTTAACAATTTTTGTACATATAAACAAATACAAAACTAAGTGGCTTGTGGTCCATTGATATCGGATTGCTCCCCTAAGTGGGAGGTGAAAGGTTTGAACCTCAATTGAGGCAGGTAGTGTGTATATGTAGGGTATCCCCTTCCTATAATTAAAAATAAATAAATAAATACAAATAACTTGATAATTGTTGACACATAATATAAGAGTTTTTTGCACTTTTGGTCCCACGACTATAGTGGCACTAGCAGAATTGATCCACGACTTTTGAACCTTGCAATTTTAGTCCACGACTATTGATTTTTTTGCAAAAATGGTCATTCCGGCCACTTTTCCGTCAAAATTCCACCGGAAATTTTATTTTTTTTAATCCATTTTTAATAGGGCTAAAATTGACATTTTACTTATCTCAAAAAATAAAATAAAAAAATTGACATTTGACTACATACAATATTACTAGGCTACATACTACTGCCCCAGGCGGCGGAGTTCCTGGAGCAGGTAGGGCTGTCAGTAAGCGGCGGAGCGGCCGTGGCGTTCCCCGGGCTAGTTGGGTTATCCGGCAGCAGCATTGGAGGCGGAGCCTGCACGCCTCATCCGAAGACATCGGAAAAGCTTCGTTGTATAGATTTCCGGCGAGAGAAGCGACGGGGATTCTCAAATGCAATCGCTTTTAAGTTTTACCTTTCCGTTTTATGTATTTCCTTTATATTTTGAGATAAGTAAAATATCAATTTTAGCCCTGTTAAAAATGGATAAAAAAAAAAAATTCTGATAGAATTTTGACGGAAAAGTGGCCGGAAGGACCATTTTTGCAAAAAAATTAATAGTCGTGGACTAAAATTGCAAGGTTCAAAAGTCGTGGATCAATTCTGCTAGTGCCACTATAGTTATGGGACCAAAAGTGTAAAAAACTCCATAATATAATGACTACAGGTATAAAAATTACCAACTATAGGTATATAATATGTGTATACATAATTTAATAATTATTTTTGGATCAGGATCTACAATGCAAGGTAAACTCTGATCCATGGTATATTTCCTAAGAATCCTTTTCCTAAACAAAAACAATCTCAGATAATATTTATAATTCCTTCCAACTGCGTCTTCCTTTTCCCTATCATGACTACAATGTCGAAAGAAATGCAGCGGAGGGTATCCAATGCATCACCGCCGCTGCTGGAAGAGATGGTCACCGAGATGGAATCATTACTGAGATTAAGTGCGTCAGCAAGAAGTGGCGCAAGATCACTTTGTCCAAAAGCATCTCAGCCGCGCCGCCACGGATTGCTACTATCAAAAAGAATACATAAATCAGCTTTGTTTGGAATTCTCCTGTATTGATATACAGAAAGGGTTACTGTTAGAGCAGGAGCATCGTAAAGATCCCTCAGGAAGGCTAGGAATCCGGCGACGATGCAAACGATATACTTGCCAGATCTCGGGGTCAGCGATGAATCGCCGAGTTGAGTGCTGGCCAGAATGTTCTTCG